ATCATAAATATTGAAATGAATGTTCTTTCTTCATCTATGAACATGTCGAAGCAACACTCACTTGTTTATTGATTCAACAACATTAATACCGCAAAAGACTCGCATTACATATTTCTGACCTTCGGCTCAGAGGGATATTACTAAAAGGCATCACACAGAGCTTTCAACAAAGATATATTTGTGTTTTGTGTGCGTGTGCCAGTAATGTGTCTCTAAACTAATGCAATCCAGCATAACAATGAGCAGTAAAGTGAAACACAAAAACAGGTGTGTATGGATACAGGGCTGCAAATATGAATAAACAGAAGATGACAATTACATAGATACAGTGAAACCCAGAAGGATGCAAAAGGATGCAGAAACTTGCACAAACTCGCTGTCACACACACACAAACAGGGCTTTATCTCACTCCCTACACATGGACAGCTTTTGGAGAAAGCAGACATGCCAACATCCCAGCCAAAGATTCTCTGCCACCCTCATGCCCACTGCAGGAATCCCTCTCTCTCTCTCCCTGCCAGACAAACACAAATGTGAGGAGGCACACAACACTATTTCTGCTATGCTGGGTCCTACTTCACTGAAACTTCCTTTCTCAGTGTAAATGGCAGAAAGTTTCCACATAAGACTTTCATATTTGACCAAAATTGTCTCATAAATACAGCGTGAACTGAAATTAACTGCTTGCTTCCTTCTTTAACCCATCTTCTATCTCATTGTACTGTATTAACTATAAACTCAACAAAGCCTCTTTTTTTTTTGTTAAAACATTGAGTGAGTGACAGTTTGTTTTCTGACAAGCAAGTGTTCATAGTTACAGAACTGGGTGACTTTCTGTATAGCTAGATCATCTGCTGAAAAACTTCCCTCAAAACATTCAATAAACCTGAGAGTGACTTTCACTCTTAAGAAAGGAATGCAAGTTATGATAAAATAAAAGACCTTTGCAATTTTAATCATGTGCAGCATTCTAACACTTCCTTGAGCTGCTGACCTTTTATTCACAGTTAGGCAGTCCCGTTTGCTCCTTCCAGTTGTATTCCTTATATTACTGGTCTTTAATTTTTTAACTTACCGGTACTACTTTCAAGGCCATGCATCATGAAAAGTTAATTATCCTTAAAATTCAGGTGCCCACAGCAGAAAATCACTTATTTTTTGCAATATTGCAATTTAGAGATAAATGGCCATGAGTTCACTAATAAAATTGGGGGGTTTGGTGCCTAAGACGTTTATGAAGTAACCTCAATAACCTTAAAAGCTGTTCTGATTGGCTCTGGCTCTGATTTCACATCTAATAATACCAACACAGAATATAAACACCTATGATTTAAAAATTACATTTTCACTGTATATCTTTCACTTAAACAGCTGAATTACTGAAAATAAGTGATAGATAAAATTAGTTTTTGTATTGTTAGGTAATCCATAAAAAAATAGCAGAGGAGTTCCTGTTTTTCACTATTTACTGTAGAAATTTATAGACTCTGAATTTGCAAAAATACAATTTGTTTATTATATTTGTTTCTTAAAGTTAAACCCAAAGAGATGATCTGCTTGGTTTCTATATTTACTACTGCATTGTTTCTTTATTGTTTCTTCAACAGAGAAAAACTGCAATGTATTGTTGAAACTGGACTTCTTTAACTATAAAGACACCTCTGGGATTAAAAGTCTTTACAGTGAAAAAAAAAAGAGGGACACAGTTTATATTATATCATGTATCTTATGTTAGTTTCACTGGTGTGCTCTGCTAGAGACCATATTATGCTGTATTGAATATGGCTGACTATGTAAGAGGAGTGTGCCACTTCTGGTTTAGATGATAAAGTTTCTGAGTTCTAAGTGGCAACAAATTCATTAAGTGAAAGCATTTAAATAACATTTCTGAAGGCAGATAATCAGGATTTCCAAATAAGTTTCTTCCCTTTTCCTCTGCTCTCATCTCTCCTGTCTTCTCAGCAGTGGTCCCCCTGATATCAGCAGGAGTCATAATTAATGGAGTGGAAGTTGCAATGTTGACCTTTTCGCAGGTGATCATCACAATGACGTTCCCGTTAATTGACCAGCCATCACTCTTCAGCCACCACCACTGCAATTATCACACAATCGCTCACTTGCATACACTTGAGAAAAGAGGACGCTGCACAAAAACATCTTGCAGCACATGCGCACACGTTTACAGACTCACAACTACAAGATAAATCTCTGCTGAGAGAAATGGCGAAAAGAACCTGTGATATCAAAACTTTACATGCAATTTACTCGGTTCTCACGTTGTATGCTTCTGTCCGTCATACACACACGTGCGTATACACTCGTTCACTGTAAAATATCCTCTATTAGCAGACAGCTCTCTTTCTCTCTCTGGGTGTTATACCTGGCTATTACTCATAATGACTGTGACATTAAAATAATGATAACGCTGTTTGCTAATGCTGCACTTAGCGCACATGCACGTACTTGTGCAGACAGATACACACAGACTATGCACAAGATGAAGTAGGCAAAGTGATTTTGACTCAACCAACAGAATGTCCATCTTTTCAGAGTATGTTTGTATGTGAATGTGTGTAAGTCAATGTGCAGGAGTGGTGGACGGTAAATGCCATTTATCCACCTGCAAAGGTTTTATAACGCCAAAGGAAGTGCTGGTGTACTGCTCCACAAACAGGACAGTTTTCAGAGTTGTGTTGGAAACCCTAAACGCTTTCAGGGTGACTGAAGAGGATAATAAAAGTGGAGCCTTAAAAAAACTTTAAGCCCTTTGTTACAGTTCTAAACCTGGACACTAGGGAGGCATGTCATTCAAAACACGCCATTATATTCAGACAGTGTCAAAATCTCAGAATAAATCTTGTGATGATCACAGGTTCACAGACATGGATGCATTCACACATATATAGAAGTAAAATGAGGACTACCTGAAAATACCGACAAAATCTATTTTATCTTTGTGTGGCTGAACAACATGAGAAAAGTTGGAAAAAGAAAATGGTAAATGGTAAAATGGCCTGCATTTGTATAGCGCTTTTCTAGTCCTTAAGGACCCCAAAGCGCTTTACACTACATTCAGTCATTCACCCATTCACACACGCATTCACACACTGGCGATGGCAAGCTACATTGTAGCCACAGCTGCCCTGGGGCACACTGACAGAGGCGAGGCTGCCGGACACAGGCGCAAAAACAAGAAAAGGACATCTTCTTCATTCAAGTGCTCTTTTTAGGGATAAGCACACCAACCCTCTGCATGTACTCCTTCACGACATCCATGAATTTTCACTGTAATCCTGCTCTTTTCTTTCTGCCTGGAAGCTCTATCTTTATCATCCTCTGTCTAATATATCCACTATGCTTCATCTGAACAAATTTACCTCCTTTTGTTTTTTTGTTAATGCTACTGTCTCCCAACCATACATCATAGCAGGTCTCATTACGTCACAAATCAAACCTGACAATCATCTCCACCCGCTCTACCGTGCCTGCACTCTCTCCGTGTTACACCCGTCTCTCTCTCATTTACACACATATTCTCTCTTGTTTCCATTTGCTTTCATTCCTCTTCTCTTCAGAGCGTACCTCCATCTATATATGTATATATATATATATATATTTACTGCACATTTTAGTTTACTTTTCTGGTGTATGCTGTGCATTCTGCACTCTGGGTTTGCATTGCCCCTATCAGACATAAGCTGAAATGTCAAACAGACAGTATTCTGAATGTTCATAATCACAGGATAGTATCATCAGCCTATGTCAGCAGTGCCCCGCCCCTTCTAAACAGCCCGCTGTATTTTCTTCTCTGGGGATCTTTTGGCTTCTCTGAATTTTATTTAGGACAAATTCTCTGTCAATTTTATAATCACCTTCCAACCTTTCTGGTTGAAAATTTTCTGGAACAACAAAGTTCAAAAGTCCTAAAGTTTCATCTTGAGGATTCATTTAACCAGTAGAAGACGTTGGGTTGCCACTGCGACAGGGACAGCATGTTATCTCCTGACAGATTCTACGTCATTGCCAACATACATTAAGTAGCGAAGTGTTTTAGTGGAAAGTTTCACAGCGACTCAAAGAAGCCTTGATACACCAAATGACAGTTAGCTATTTTTTTTTTAAATTCTTCTTGTGTATGTATGAACTGGTACACACAATGCTTTTCTACTCTGTTTGAGCACTCAGAGCACTGTCTTACTCATTCACCCATCCTCACACACATTAATTCAAACGCTTGATTTTCTAGGCCACAATACTTTTAGCAAAAATTCACATATTCACACATACCAGTGGATGCGTTGGAGGCAAATCGGGTTGAAATGTTTGACAACCTGAAAACAGAACCCTGCGGCCCAGTTTCCTCTAAGAACACCTGGATTACAGTATCTTACTGGGTTATTATGGAACACCAGCTTGAAGCAGAAAAAAAGACGTAGTTCCAGATTTGTCTGAAGATCTACATTTCAGTGACCGATGGGCTAATTGTTATGTTTATGTTGCTCTATCTCTCCATTTCCATCTCCATTTCTGCTCCTCCCTCCATCCACCCTCAACTCTTTCTCTATCTTACCGAGTCTCCTTCCTTGTCAAGATGCAATTATTTGCAATTTGCCTAAGTCATCCATTTGCTGGGACACCAAGCAGAAAACGAGGCAATTTGGTGTAAAATGGAGGCAGGCGGGTGTCTGAGCATATGCATGTATGTGTGAATGTGAGTGTGTGGACAAGGCAGGGGAAGGTCCAGGCGCTGGTGGGGGGCCATGTAAAGACTGTCACACAGAAGTGAAAATTAATGTCATGAACGCACACACAGATCGAGTACATGTACTGGCTGTGTGTGTGTGTGTGTGTGTGTGTGTGTGTGCGTGTGTGTGTGTGAGAGAGAGAGAGTGTATGAGAGGACATGATCTCTTATTATTTAAGTCG